AGGGTTAAGACCAAGCTTTAGCTCGTCCGTGTAGACATAGTCCCGTGGTCGTCAACATAGTCGATATCAGGACTGGGAGCTTTTACGGAGGGACTTCCCTGCGCTTTATTTAAAGTTAAACACGAAGAAAAACGGCCGTTCGAGGGAGATGGTATCGCAGTACTAATTTATCGAACCTACCTTCGTTTAGGTACCTAGGTTTAACGAGAGATTACGAAACGTCGCGTGGAGAAAAAAGCGCAGTGAACAATCTGCCTCGCGTATCTCTCTAAAAATCTCTCGTAACGTTAATTTCGAAAATAGATTTTCAAACGTTTCTCTTTGCGGATTAATTAATTAATGATATGTCCCTACCATATTTTTAATGTATAAAAAAAAAAAAAAGACTTTAGCTTTTGATATAAAAGCAAAATTTGCAATTTCTCCATTTTCCAAACTTTATAGTGATGCTAAAAAGCCCTCCGGTAAAATATGAATAAATTGCCAGTACTTTATTTATTATAAAATTAAATTACAAAAATGTTAAATGTGTTAGCTGCGTTATACGCCTTTTACCTGGAAATATAGTACGAATTATTCATGCGGTACAAATTATGTGTACGCATATACGCTAAAAGAACTCTGAATTCTTAATGTAAAGGCCAATTCGAAACTGCGAATTTTATCTTTACGTCTCTCACGTTGTAATAATGCGAGAATCATGCAAAATGAATTCGCGGAGATTCGGGAATTATTTGCCGAAAGAGATCGCACGCGGATCGCCTAACGAGCGTCCTAACAAACAACCGACGTTACGTCACGGAGAAAGAAACAACGTGGAAATCCTTCGGTGGGGCGGGAACGGGGTTGATGCAACGAAAAGCGGGTAAGAGACGGCTAAAGATAATGTACCTCTGCATAGAGATGATGTTATTAAACGGAAATCTACAGATGGAGCGAACGCATAAAGCACTGTCTACCGTCGTTGTCTGATTAGGCATGCAACATTTCCCACCTCTACTTCCCCTCGCCATCCCACCCCCTCTGTCCCTGGACGAGATACTGGAAGCTCCCTTTCCTCCCCTCTTCTCTCTCTCTTTCTCTCTCTCTCGTCACTCGTTTCTCTTTCTCTCTCGTTACGGACACGCGGCACGCCGCGCCGTCACGTAAATTCCGTAAAACGATAACGGCGATTTTAACACCGCGTACAATGCACTATCGCATGGCGATGCAGTTCATTCGTGGTAACGAACTCAAGCGAAAATGCGCTTTTTTTCGAATTCCCGCGTACCGAAAATCCAACCGCAAAAATCTATCCCTTTAACTGCGACTCGCACGGAAACGTTTGTACAATACGATACAAACACGTCACGACACAAATCTCCATATTAGTTTTATGTGCAGCAATTATTCGCTGGCAATCTCTTTTTTTATGTCTTTTTTTATGTATGATCGGCAAAATTGCGTATTTCATATATAAAACACGAAATGCAAGTCAGAGAACGATTAATTCGTCAAGAAGTATACTGTAAGTAGTAGATAACGAGTGCATCTATTTGCTACAAATGCTTTGAAACATTTTTTTATGATCAGTTGATAAAATTTCTTGTTTTGATTGAGTAATCAAACATTTCGAATCATTTGTGCTAAATAGTTCATAGTCAATGTTTCTATGATATTACAAATAAATACTTTTATTCTATGATTAATATATGTATTCCCTATAATAAAATTTATCATATGGGCATCCAAGCATCCAAGATTTTTTTTCGGAGAAGAGAGATTTTATCAATCCTGTTATCATAAATAGCAATTTTTTGCGTTAATAAAATATTTTTTGGATATTTTAGAGTGTCTTCTTATTCCTGATTTTGAATGGAAAAATCAATTTTGGTTTTTGTAAATCATAATTTTTATCTGAAGAAAATATAATATAGGCAATTTCGGGGGGGTTATATCCCTTATTTCTCCTTCCCCTCTGAATATGCCTATAATCTCAAAAAGATACATGTATAATCGATCATGTATAATCGAATAGATTCTCTTTTTTTTAGAGAAAGGAAGGAATAAAAAAGAACATAAACATTTTTAAATATTAATGGAGTCAATTAAAAAATTTATTTATTATTAACTTGATAAATTTCAGTTACCCATTTAAAGTTTGAAAAAATATTCACTTTTAACTTTGATTGTTAAATAAACAATAAATTATAATAAATTTTTTATATGAACAAATATATTCACAAGTCGATGTATTTCGCCAAAGCAATATGATGGACGTCATTTTCTACTCCAAGCCATATACCGTTGAAATACGATCCTTCTTTCCTTCCTTCCTTCCCTCGAGATACAAACTTGCCGAAAATTCCAAGTTTGACACAAGATTCGTCCGACACTTTCATCCGACATTTCCGAGACGTGCGATTGGCTTTTAGCGAATAACAACGCTAGAATCTGTCGCGACATTTACCTTCTACACGAGAAAGCAGCACGAAATTTGAAGTCTATTTTAACGAATATGACAGCTGTGACGAAAAATGCCACCTGCGGCGACGAGTAGCGTCGGTAAATGAACACAATCGGGAAAACATTATTAATAACTTTTTTTATATTTTAATTATATTAATCATTTATGTTACAATTTATTATAGGTATTTTTTTTCTTATTTTTTTGTCGTAGATATATGTGCAGATATCCTATTTTACATTTCATTTATTTTAATATCTCTTGAATCATTATTTTGAAGAACCGCCGCCGTTCTCATAAGTAAAGTCTACGATTATTCTTTACGGAAGCGCGAGGACGTCAGGATGCATTCAACCGCGAGGTATGTCGCATAATGTTGGTATGCAAGCGTGAAAAATTTAGTGAGCGGAGGTGAGGGCGAGAAACACGCGAGCATTTGGAAATTTTTCGAACGGCATTCCTCGTTGGGATATGCCGGATAATAATTCCGCCGGTCACGCGCGCATTCACGTACGTTACGCATATATTTCGGGAGACGACTGACGTCGGAAGGAGTCCTCCAAGATTAACGATTCCGTAAAATTTTCAACCAGATTCCGCGACCGGGAACGCTACCGGCCGGCTCTCGGGATATGGCTATCGGGCGCTTTATTTTATTCTTTTTTCTTTTTTTTTTTTTATTGTATTTCCGCTGAGCGTTGCATCGGCGAAATGGAAGGGAGGGCGCAAAGCTGTTAAGTCTGTAGGTCGATAAAATTTTAATAAATGCTAATTCGCGCCCGGCTCGACGTACAGCTGATACCCACAAAATTAAAGCGCCTACCTCCTGCGGGGACCGCTTCATTATGGAGCGCGCGACCCTCTCGAGGAAGAGTGGAGCGGGTGGTGCTGCATTTGCCTTTTCACTCCCTCTACGCGGAATTAAGAAAAGCGGAGCTGAAAAGAATAGACGAGGGCAGTGCCCCGTCAACTTTGTCGGGGTGATCCAATCTTGAAATCTCACCGTCAAGTCTTTTACTTAGACGAGCTGTTTTCACTGCTCTCTTAACTCACTCGGGGCTTCTCAAAATAATGCGCTCTGCAAAAACAATTCTGTTAAACAAATACGTGTGTGCCAGAAAAATAACTTTTGTTTCTTTATTAACGTTTCTTTATTTCCCGACTGATTTTATACTTTTGAATAATATAAAAAAACGATTAATCGCCTATACATGTATATACATTTTATCGTAAAAATTTAATTTTGGATCGCGTATAGAGATGTCATTTAATATCAATTTGATCTTTTTGCCCCTCGCAGATAAAATAATTTAAAATTACGACGTGTCGCAAAGTTCCGCGATGAAATTTTATTTTGAAAGAGATATTAAATTTAAATTGTTATCGCGCGCAATCCTATCGATTTTACGGCCGTTACGTCAGTCGCGAGATGATTCTATCAGAAACAAATTCGTTGACGGCAATTGAAAAGCAAAAGTGATAAAGACGGCTACGGCGCGGATCCCGTATCGTTGGTGTGGGTTGCATCCCGGCGGCGGCGGCGGTGGTGGTCAAATAATCTAAACCCTACATTCGACGGTTATGAAACTGAAGCAGTGGTATGCTGCCCGGCTGCAAGTTGTTCGAGCGAAAACATAAACGCAGCCGAATGTATTATGCCTGCGTAAGAAGCACGACGCTTGTTCTGTGGGGCCGCGATCAACATGCCGCAAACATCTGTATCCATAAGCGCAGAGATAGACGAACGCCAAAGCCGTAAGGGGGGGGGGGAAGGGGGTCGTCAACTATGTACATAATTTCCAACTTCTGACTCTATCCGCTTCTGCAACGGACGATCCTCCGGGCCGTCCGGAAGCGCCAAATCTCTCTGCACCCCCCAGAGCGCGCGGTCAACTAACCCAAATATATACATCCACCTGACGCGCGAATAGCACCGCGCGCATGGGAATAGTCTCATTTGTATTTGTTTGTACCCTGCCTCATTAATAAAATGGATCGAGCAGCGGCAAAACAGAAAATTGCTCGAATCGCGCCACGATGCCGTAAAATCAGGACGTGGCTATCGTACAGCTGGAATAGCACGAATTATAGGCGACCGCGATCCCATTGCTTCGTTGTTAGCTAGTAATGAAAATCTAGGCAGAAAAAAGAACGATACTCTTAAATCATTTGAATATTAATGGATGCAATTAGCAATTTATTCGCCCGATTCATTAACCTCGTATATCCTACTTTTTATTTTCTTTTATTATAAATTACTAACTTTGAAAACGTCACGTAGCTTTTCAAATTCATAATTCGATTATTTATTGAGCCGTATTCTAAATTTATTTATTTATCGGCCATGAGTAAAAATGATCAGTGTATGTATACACACACACACACACACACACACACACACACACACACACACACACACACACACAGAATCGAGCGCGATCGTTCATTGTTATGACCGGGGGGACAATCTGATTTGGCTCCGATTCGATTCAACGTCAATTTGGCTGACATCCTGTTTTTTCGGCAAAAATCCTTCAAAATTACTAAATTCCAAATGGGGTGGGGTTTGACAAGGACGCATTGCCAATGTAACGGCAGCTACGGTGCATCGGCGCAGGAATGCCCTCCATCAAAGCAAGTCCCGTCGGCATGCCCTCCCATCATAACCGCCGCAGTGAAGTCCACTTGTGGAGCAAGACGGATGTTCGTTTCTGTCATCATCCTGATCTTTTTGTTGGCCGCTATATATTGGGCATCTCTGCGCCAGCAAGCGAACCCCGGCGTACGTCGACCAATGAGAATTCAGCCCCAAGCTTCGCGAAATACCGCGCCGGAGCAAACCGAGACTGTGGAAATGTCTGAGAGATGAGATAACGTAATTGATAATTCCTAATTCCTTCCGAGAAAGACGCACAGGATAATTCCTGTAAATCCAGACGGAAATTCATAACAGGAAGAAACACTCGTTCGTTGCTTTTATTCTTTTAACGCATAATTAATTTTCAGCTCGGAATATCTATTTTAAAAAAATATAAAAATAAATAATATAAATTTGATCGTAATTATTTGTAATCTAAAAAATATCCCTTTTACTGATAATGTCTATGTAATTATTTCGGAATCTGTTGTTATTCTGGAATTATCCTGACGAGGAGATTATTATTAGGATAATATTAATAGAAGGTGAAATGACAAATAAACCTGAAAATATCGAACTAGATGCCGGCATCGAGAGAGTCGAAGAAAGGGTAATCCGAAGTAACAATATGGACTTGCATTTCCAAGCAGAACAGGTCGTACATTGCATTTCATCGCCGAATATCGATACTGTATATCGTAGTAGCAGCTGGTATGTGCTGCTAGTAGTAGCTGCAACGTGCATATTTCGCATAAAAACAACCAATCCTGCAATAAGCTATCTAAAAGAAAATGCTGAAGCGAAGAGAAACAATAGTAAAAAAAACTTTTTTATAACATGGTATATGTTACAACATTAATTTATATCATTCTCAATAATACTAATATAATACCTGTTATGAAGAAATTAGTTTGTCTTACTTGAAGCTCTTTCCAAACATCGAAATAAAAATTACAAGAATCAAACAAGTAATTTCGCAATTTTAAATCAAATATTTTATTTTCCTGCGCATTTCCTGCGACATAAAGTGTCTTTTACATCGGAAGCATCATTTGTAATAATAAAAGCACGACGATAAAAGTGAAAAACCTTTGGACTTAAATTCATAACAGCACTTTCTTCGATATATGCCATTATCGACGAATACGCGCGATAAGGTTTAATGTTTTGAAAGATATAAAGAATAATGTATGCTGCGATGTCTACAGCAATACACGATGAAAACAGTTTCTAGTCGAAGCTGCCCAAACGGTCGAGCGTGTGTAACATTATCCTCCTCTTGGTGATTTCTTCTTTGATTTCTTCCTTGGGCATGAGATTTTCAATTCTGCCATACGCAAACGGTAACTTGGCGATAATGTCTCGTTCCAAAAGCTCGCGATCCACTTCCTGATACTCGTCTTTCACGAAGTCTAAATAAATTCGCAACATATTCCGGCAGAATGTCTCGATCTCCGACAGATTATCACCATCGGGTAGATTTTGCAGAAGAACGTGACCAAAGTCGATCGATGGTGAGCAATATCTCATTGTTCCCCAATCGATTACTTTCACATCGTTCGGTTTCCCATTCTCATATCTGAACAACAAGTTATCCCGCGTAAAATTACCATGACAGATGGTCCAAAAATCGTTGTACTCCAGTTTGGTCGTTACGTCCCACTTTTTTTTTATTTTTCCCGAGAGATCTGCCTCAACTGGCAATGCGGAATATGCTGAAGAGTCGAAACATTTAGGATCATCCGATCGCGCTTCTGGAGGCGATGTTCTGAAGGCGACACAAGATAGAAAAAGTAATTATCAAAACGTCATTAAAATATATAATTTATATATTAATTTTGATAATAATTAAAATTAATAATTATTAAAATTTAATAATTTTATATTTTTAATATGTTATTATTATATCAAAAATCCAGAATCGTTTTGTAAACAGTTTCTCATTCACGCCAATTGTTAATTATCATATTTTTAAGATAAAAACACAATTATTTTATTTCGTTATTTTTAACACAAGCATATAAAAATCAGAAATTTACCTGGCGATGCTCGTCTCTGTATCTGTACGAAGGTACAACCAGTCCATCGGTGCGGACAGTTTCGCATAGAATTCCCTAAAAATGGGAAACTTATGCGCCCTCAGCTTCAGCCCTCGACCGTGAAACGCCGCCAGAGTTTTCACGCATAATTTCAGATGATCCTCGTCCAATTTATTATCCACCTGCGTGTAACCACGCGCGGCTAGATCCTCCAGCGCGATGGCAGCCCGATCGTATCGACCCAGGTCGGACAGGTAACACCTCGGGACGGCGTTCGTCCCGTAGTCGAACGTCATCTTGCTGTAAAACATCTCCTCGTTCAGGAAGGGGCCGGACGGCGGAGAATCCGTATGTGGTTTAGGCAGCTTGATAATAATGGGGAAGCTGCATGTCACGCCGGAAAACTTTACGCGCGCCGTCACCCGGTGTAGCGTGTTCTCGCGACCGCTCCCCTTCCGGTCCAAGTGCTTCACATCAGCGGAATCAAACTCAACAAACTCTCTGGATCCCGGCTCGCAGAAGCAACGATCGTGGACCATCTCCGGTATCAATATCCGCCTTATGAAGTCGCAATCATGGCATGTGCGCGACGGCTCCCCCACCGGCCCCGCCGCTGGCTTCGCGCGGGGATCTGGGTCGGGCATGGCGAAAGGGAAAATAATATCGCCGTAATAAAACGCGGGCGGCAATTAAGGACACACCGACACTGCCGAGTGCGCGCGCTTAAAGCCGGAAAGTCGAGAATTATGAGGATTTCTTTTTTTTTTTTTACGCGAGCCCGCTCGTTCTAATAACGTTGTTGTCGCGACGAGTGCCGCGCGCGTTAATAATGTTTATCGTCACGAAGTGCAACGAGTCGCCAGGCGACGGAATAATTAAAAAACATTTTAACCGTGTCGTTAGCCTCGAGTGCCGAGTCAAAGTGCGGCGCAGACGTAAACGTGCGTTTTTACCAATAATCAAATTATCGCGGTGACGCGATAATGGCTCACGTAATTGTAAACATTATCTGAAAGTAATCGCGATCGCAGACTTTACCAACGTATTCCAGACTCATTCGACGTATCTCCCACCACGTTTCACTACAAACTGAGCGTTCACTGAGCTACGTTACACATTCCAGACAGATCTCCCCTCTACATTCTTTGTCTAACTGATACCAGCATAACGGGTTGATCAAGCCTTAAGACACCTAAAGACACGGTCATGTCTTTAACATTTTCTAAAGCCAGTAATTCTTAGAGAAGTCAATGATTCCACTCTTTCTATGTTATCTATAATATATATATATATATATATATAAAATCATTATTTATTAATTTATCTCAAAAATATAAAAAAAAAATTTTAGAGTCAAATTTAGATAGAAAATATTACGCGAAACGTAAGTCTGAAATTAAATGATGATAAGGCATCCAATTACGTTTTCTCTTTCTCTTTCGGATTTATACGGGCCGTTTTTATTGATTTTTAATGATGTCGCAAACAAGTTTACGCCAAGACGTGACGAACCGTTTAGGAAATGTCGCCGTCTCTTTAAGTACATTTTCATCGGCGTTTAATCAGGGAAAAGGTATTGATCTTGAGAAAAGTGGAAGTAACTTTAAATTGCGTTATATAGAGATTATCGTCGTTAAAGAAATTACTCGCTCTAATCGGATCTATATAATTGATTGGATTTATTGTAGCCTAGTGATGCGTGAGATCTGGACTTTAAATGTTGAGAGAAAAATTTTCTCTCGCTGCGTCATAACAAATTTTAAACTTTGAAGACAAAGTGCAAATTGCAAAGTTTTCACAGCAAATACACATTTTTAACGTTTTACGAGACTTTAGACGTTAAATAAAAATCCGATAAAATTACTCTCTTTTTAAAAATGAAACGATCATCTTGTATCAACAAATTCTGTTAAATAAAATATTTTATAAACTATCGATAGCATAACTTTATTTTGACAGATTCGCTCCAACTTCAAATCTTAATCTGAAAGCATCGACAATACAAGCACGGAACATCTCGTGCTTGACATTTCCTCCATTTCCTTCAATTCAGTATCTAAATTGTTATGTGTAATTTTCCTTAATTCGAAGCAGTAAACTCATGCTGCGAATGGAATAATGCATTATTGATCGCGAAGGAGAATAAACGGGCACGACAGCTGCAGTCGGGATCTAAATTCGTTAAAGCAAATCAATGATCTAGCCTCTGGTACCGATGATTAATTTGCCCTGTAACGCGGCCTCGATGTCACAGGTCACGCCCTGTCAGAACGTACCCGTGCAGACGAGTCAGTATAATTTTCCAACATGTCAACAACGGCAAACCAGCACTCAGCAGATGCAAACTGCATGCGGTCCATATTCCAGAACTTCTCAAGGTACAGAGCTGATCATGTTAAACATTAAATTACGTAGTAATTTAATTGTCATACAAATTAAATCCCTTTCTTGAAAATGTAATCTATAATAATAATAAGTTCGCGAGAAAAAAATATACTTTATTCAATCAATGAATAAAAAAATATTTACTGAATAAAGTACATTTGATTTAAATTTATTCTCACCTTTTATCCGATTTTTTTATATGTGTATATTATAATTATAAAATTGGAAAGTCTTGATATTTGTTTATTTAAAATAAGATCAATTAAAAATTATAAATGAATCCATTTAAATTTTTGACAGATTAACTATATATATATATATATTTTACAGTTATGTTAATAATAGTATTTTCCAAATAATAATAAACTAAATATTAATATAATTTCTTTAAATATCAATTCAAAATAGCCGAATAAATCTGAAATTTTAATGATAGATATTTTCTCGATAGATATGTAGTAATTATAAATAATCAATATTTAATAATATTTTTAAAACAATAATTAATTAATTGTGTAATTATTGCTTTCCTCTATTTGTTTGTTCAAATTGGTATCAATTAAAAATCATATTATATAGAATACGATCGAGTCAGCTAGTTTTTAATAAAATTCTTAACAGAATAATTTTATAACGGGAAATATGCAAAAATACCTGATTGACCTAAATGACTGATGTGATGTTTCTGATTCTTTTTTTTTTGTATTTATTCAGAAAGACCGTTCACACACGTCTGCCAGCCGGATACTTACATAATGACACACCAATGTACGCCAAGCGCGTCGCAGCCAATAACGAATCCGTGTCGTCCCGTTTTCCAAACCGGTCTACCACCGACTTATCCCGGCTGCGGCCAGCTGCCACAGAATATCCTGGACCAAATTCGTGCGTGCGTCAACAGTGCCGCGCCTATCTTCATCCTGCCCGGCACCTGCCAGCAATCGCCGGCATCCCAACAACAGCAACAACAGCAGCAACCGTCTATGCCTCCTTTGATACCTCAAATAGCGCCCTTGCCCCCTCCAGTGGCATATCCGCCGAGCGGATTAGCCTACCCCCCGGCTTGTTATCCGCCACCCCCGTCGTTCTACCCCTATCCCGTGCCTCTGCCGTTCTGCGATTCTCCGTTCGCTCGCACACGCGAGGCCGCGCCGAGTTGCGGATGCTGCCGAAAAGGAGAGACGGATTCGACGGAGATCAGAAACATCTTGCGCGCCGGTTGCCGTTACGACGCCGCCGAGACGGACGATCATCGTTGCACGCCCACCCTCGACGATGCCATTTGTTCCAAGAGGAACTGCCCGTCCTCGCTGCATCTGCAAGCGTTGGCGTCCCAATTTCTATCGATGCAGGGCATCATACCGTGCGCTGCCACGCGACTGGTGCTACGCAAAGTACCGGGCTCGAACGTGACCACCACCATGGAGGATACGATGTCGAGGGCGCAGAAGGCGATAAGCGTCCTGACGAAGGATCAGTTGCTGTCGGAATCGAGGAACGCGCAGCAAGTGAACGCGCTGATCAATCTGCACATGACGGCCAATCCGCCGCCCAACATCATCCCGATCCTCACGCTGGTGCAGCTGAAGATGAATCTACTGAAGGCGCAGGTCGAGGGGCTCGTCAATCAGAAGATAATGGAGATTCAGGGAGTTGGCGTGGAGGTAATAATTAACGTAGAAATTGCTTGGAGAAATTTTTAATGTCGCACTAAAATTAAACGCACTATTTTATATTTACATCTTACATTAATATTTATATATTTATTTTATTTTCTAGATATTTATTTTCTATGTTTCGCTTTCTGTTCTCCCAAGGTGGAGACCGATCTCATAGATCCCGCGGTCCTCGCCCTCAAGTCCGACGCCGAGCTGCGGGACTTCCTGACGGCGCTGCGGAAGAAGGAGTGCGACGAGCGAGTGAACGTGAACTTCGCGCCGTACCGGTCGCAACGCGCGATCGCGGAGACCCGGCTGAGCAACGTCCAGACCAAGATCCGTCAGGTGGAGGCGGAGTTCGATCGCAGACGGTGCGCGATACTGCCGGCGCCGACGTTGTCCTCGCGCGTCGTGCAACAATTCGCCAGGCCGTGCTACACGGCGAGATTCGAGGATCCCAGGAAGTTGTACGGCACGCTGCCGCTGGAGACTCGTTCGCCCGATCCATTCGTATGCGTAAAACCGCGAAGCCCCAAGAGGCTGCTGCTGAAGCCGTGCACGGGAACAAAGCCGGAAACGGCTACCACGCGACCGGTGGCTGCCCCAGCAGCCGGCAGGAATCCCTCGAAAAATACGGACGACGAGAAGGAGAAACGACCGGCGACTCCGCAGCGTTCCAAAGAGGATTGCACCTGTTGCGACAGGACGACGTCGGAGGAGAGCATCGACGAGGCTAAAAAAAAACTCCGACCGAGGATCATCGAGATAGACGCGATGACGGTCAGTAACATCGAGGAGCTGGGACGTGAGACGTCATCACTGATGAAGCTAATGTCGAGTGTCTGCGTGAGGATCAGCGCGGAGGGATACGAGGGAAAATACGGGGAGAGGAATGAGATGTCGGTCGGCGGAGTTCCATGCGATGGAAAATGTTGGATGTTACCCAAGGCCTGCGTCAACATCGAGAATGAATCGATGAAGTCTTTAACGGAATCTGAGAGCGACATGGTGGTTACGCTCGGCGAGAAGATCGATGTGGAGGACGTTTGCAAAGCGCGAGATGTAATCGAGATTCGTGGCTGCGGTCGACATGAGTTCGAAAGTTCGGTGGACCTGCGGCAATCTGAAGAACGAATGGAAGTCGAAACGGCAATTCCAAGGAAAGATGCGATGATCAAAAAACGTGATATTGAGATTAAAAATTTGCAAGACGTCTCGCCGGAGTTGAAATCTGATCGAGAAGAGGCTACAACCGTTGCGAAAGTTCCAGCCTCGGGTGTGAGAGAAACGGAACGAACGTCACCGAGCGGTATGTACGCTTCGCTAAGGACTATATTAAAATCAAGAAAAGAAAAGAGCGAGGACGAACAGAAAGGTAAAAGCGACGAAATCTTGGCATCGTCCGCGGATATGACGGCGGAAAGCACAAGTCAAGCACCAGTGAAAAGTAAGAAGAAAACAAGATTCCACATTGTCTCATTGATGACGAATATCGTGCACGATAAAAACCGGGAATACGGAAGAGAACAAAAAATCCAGAGGGAAATAACAAGTGAAAGAGAGATGAGTCTAACCACCGATCCGGATATCGAAAAATTAGATAATCACGATACAATCGAAAGTCTCCTAGGAAGTGCGGTCACGCGCGACATTACTGGAAAAGATCGCTCGGAAAACATATTTTCAAAGAGATTGGATCTTCCGAAGCTCCGTTTCGATCATCAATGCCAAACCGCATTCAAAGAAGATAAAAATACAGCCACGAACGAATGGCTATTATCAAGAACGAAAAATATATTTCCTCCGTTCAAAAATTTGCATAAACATGTGACAGGTAAGTCATTGGTTTCTTTATACCAGCGTATTCCTCGTGTTTAAATTTAAGAAGGAGGAGAGTAATCTCCCGCATTTCCGTTTTATGATTTGTAATGGCTTTCTATCTTGCGTTTGAGTTGATAATTCTTGGAAATCGCATACCTCCGCTCCGGAATATAAAGTATAAAAGAATTTAAATCAAAAATTTTTTTATTCAAATTCAGATAACGAGAAAAACGAGGATGGCGTAGGAACTTATCCGAGTTCGATAACGAGAGCAGAAATTACGACTACAAAACGTTTATCCCGCTGCAACAATGTCACAGGAAGTACCTTAGGATCTTTTTGTAAGAATAACGTGCCTTATCATTTCAACGTGGAAGGAAGCTTAATTTCGAAACTACTTTCTGTCATTGGCACCCACGTGACTGCGTTTATCAATAAAATAATTTCTCTGAATAGAAGATTGTTACATCCAATTTGTTGTGCGATATTCGGTAATAGTTTAAATATAAATGCCTTCGGTGAAGACGTTTCGATACGCGATCGTCCCAAATTGATCTCAAAAGATCATGATTCACTCGTTGATTCACCCCTGCCCTGTTCTCTCGGCTTAAATCATAGAACTGCCAAAACCAGCGAACATGATATTCGCAATACAAACTTATTACGAATTTCCACGAAAGAAGGGTATAAAAAAATACGCAAGATAAAACATTCGATAATTGAAAATAAAAAAACCAAGGTGAAATATTTATTGATCGGTACATCGAATCGTGACCTGATATCGACGCGTGATTTGGGTCGACCTTACAAGATCCAGAGAAGTCTCTTGATACGTAGTCGATTGAAAAATTCTCTAAATTCGCAAGATTATCCGTATCCCTTTTCTCTTTTGAAACGTTCCGGGGAAAATGCACTCGAGTCTCAAGCAAAACGTAACGAAAACACAAAAACGCTCAAAGAAAAGAAAATACGCGATCTGAGGACTAGCGAAAAATTCTGGATATTATCGAAAGCTGTAAAAACAAACGGAAGTAAAATATTAGAAATGAGGGAATATGATGAGTATGAAGAACAAATTTCAAGCGAACATTTGCACGATAATGTTAAAAATAATAACGTATCTACTATGCAAGATCATATAATCATTGGCAATACTACAGCCAGTAATGAACTCGTGATAAACGTTCACGATTATCTCTGGGCTGCAAACTGAAATAAATACTGAAATAATACGAGATAATATATATGAAGACCGTAGCGCACATTTATTGATATCTGATAATAATTATTAAAGGATATCATGTGATATTAACTTAATAAATTAAAAATTATACAGGTAAAAATTATAAATTTTACATCTCGTTGAAAATTAATTAAAATACATAATTTTAGTGTAACTTCTTTCCTTTATTAATAACTTTTATTCTTTCGTCAGTGATCGTCTATAGCTGTCTAGTGAGAATTTTTTAGAATAGTAACAGTACGACGATAAATATATCTTTAATGCTTCTCCAGAATCATTCGTTTCGGAACTCTACAAAAGAGTTGCAAAAAGAATGGAAAAAGTATTTGTCACATTATCTCACATACACTCGCGTCAGATCAGAGCACACGTAATCATACCGTTACAACGTGAACACATGCATATCAAGAAGTACGATTTAATTCCCTTGCGTGATTTTGCGATCTCTCTAATTTATTAATATATATATATATATATATATATATATATATATATATATATATATATATATATATTATTAGATTTCTTATTATATCCTAATCTATAGATTATCAGTAGAAATAAACGGACACATTGGTTGTTATAAGAAAACTAATATCGCAACAACGGAATCCCGTGTACATATCAAAATACACAAGTAACAATGTCATCCGCATGACATTGTTCTATATATATATTTATTTATATAAATATAATGCTCTTCAACGAATAACAAGATGTTTTATCTCAGATTGAAATGTCAGAGACGAAATGGAGATGAAATTGGCATTTTACATGAGTTAACATGAAATTCATAATTGGAAGAATTCGCGTGCATTCTCGCAAATTGTAAATACATATAAATATCAAACCTCGCAATGAAAAAGCAATTCAAAGTAGAACCAGTTAGAGCCATATTAATACGCATTATTAATACGTGTACCTCAAGTGTAATATCAAAGTTACAAATGGACCATGCTTAAGATAAATATGTTTTAAATTTCCTATAGAACTATCTCTAATCGCAGACTGAAGAGACACTTGTGGAAGAAAAAGATCGAACCTATTATTGTAAAATATTTCATCAGTCAAGACAATCTCTGCTTCCATCGTAAAGGTTTTGTTGTCAAGGAACTGAGTGACCGTGTCACTTTTCGAAGTTTAACAAATTATCGCATGATACAGTGTCGATTTAATACACAGTATTTTACGATTGTTACATAGATATATATTAGATATCTTGATAGTTAATTAATAAAAAAATTTATTATTTTTTAATTATGTTGGATACAAGAATTTAATATCTACAATTTTACAGATCTTATCACTTCCATATCTTAAAGAATAAATATTTGATCTTCTCCGTAGCCCGTGACTACCGTTCTGCAAAATACGGCCGTCGAATAATTACATTTAGTCCGTTATTACTGTTGGCAGAATTTTTTATGAAAAATGAATGACAAATTACAAAATGACATTACGAATGAATACTATATCATCAACGATATAAACAAAAGACAATTATTTTTTAACACGGTGCAATTGTGTATAGACATTTGTTTAATATGTATTAGTTTTAAACAAAAAAAATAGAAATAAAAAAATAGAAAATATAGACATTTCTTGTTGATCAATATCAATCTTCTCTCAATATCAATTCTTGAAATATTCTTGAAATATTCTTTTTCGATGAATAAATTATATACAAAAATATTTACAAAGAGAAATACATTTATACCATTAATATAGTCAAATATTTCTTGAAACAACTTAATGATGTGTATACGTGCGTATTGTATTATAATTTAGTTAAAAATTAGTATTTCTTATGACAATATTTCTTTGATAAAAAAAAACTTAAGCAATTGAACAATCAAGTTCAATTACTTGCGATATATAATTAAAACTGCTTAGGCAAACTTTTTATATGTATAACAATATAATCGCAAATGAATTTTTTACATAACTTTAACAAAAGACGAAATGATAACCGATCAAAATTAAGTGGACGAGATTGTGAATAATATATAATATAACATGTCTTATATTCCCTCTAAATTTAATACAATATATATAATACGTAACTTTTGCACTGTAATGTAAAAAAGAATTACCTAAAAAAATTGTTATAATTATAAAATCGTTTTAATCATGAATGTAATAGATTTTAAACAAATGTGACTATCAAAAGTTAAGTAATAGGCAATTAGATCAGATTGTGCATTCTTTTTAAATCTGTTGATTTTATCCCGAATATATTCGAACTTCAGGAGTGATAGAGATAAGTCTGTTAAAGCAATCGCCTAATAACCCAAAAATCCGAGTTTGATTCCTGACCTTGCCATTTCATATACGACATATTCGGATTTCATCATGTACAAGTTGAATTTTCTAGTCGAGAACATCAACTTGGACAAAGGCACGATTGACCATAGGTAATGCTTGTGTGCACAAAATATTACTATATAAAAATTGAAATTCTCCCCACATACGTTTCAAGAAACTAAAATAACAATAAATATAAGCAAAGCAAATACTATTTTTTGTATACAATGTACAATTGAAATCCCGTCTCTGTCTCTTTCTCTTCTAACAAAAACTTTCAAAATCACTATTTTCCAGTTTAAAAACGAGAAATCATTCGAACGCCCAAGTCCCCATTTCATCAGTTCTCGCTAAGTTTATTTAAGTAGTATTAAATTCTTTTTTAATTCACGACTTTGGTGTACTCAGCTCTCAATTGGCCGAGTGTCACTTTTATATCGTGAAAACTCGGTCTCTTTTCTGGCTGTAAATCCCATGCCTATTAAAAAGTAGTACATAATATAATATAACATAACAAATATAATAATATAATATAACAGTGTGATAAATGTATCAAAAGAAAAATTTAATATATACCTGTTTCATAATATCATAAACTTCCGCAGGACATCCATCCGGTGGTTCCATCTTATATCCCTTTTCTACGCACTTTACAACATCGGCTAAAGGCTGTAATTATTAATAATAACATAAAGAAAATATATTGTGTCTCATATGAAAATCGGATATAACAATATTCACTTACAATTCGTGGATACGGTACACGACCAAAGGAATAGATCTCCCAGAGAAGAATTCCGAAACTCCACATATCAGACTTGTTTGAAAACTTCTGGAAACAGTAATATAATATGTAAATATTATATATATTTCATTCATTCATAATTATAAGTTACAAAATATTTACGTTTTGTTTTAGAGCCTCTGGTGCAGTCCATTTGATGGGCAGTTTTCCACCATCAAGAGAAAAATTTTCATCTCGCGCCAGGCCGAAATCAGATACTTTGGCAGAATTATCCTCTGCTACGAGAACATTCCTCGCTGCTAAGTCTCGATGCACAACATGTCTGGATTCCAGATACGCCATACCGGCACACGTATCGCTACGATATATCAAACAGGTTAAGAACATGCATATTTTATAGACGAATAATCTTTTATAGGCAATCTTTTATAGGCGAATAATCTTTTTGCTTACGTACTATGCAAAATTAATTTGATCCTTTTTCGAAACGTGTAATCTTCCTCTTGACCGTAAATAATCCACCAGAGATCCCTTACTCATATATTCCGTAACCAGGTACATATGTTGATTATTAAAAACAAGACCGAGTAATTTAACCAGATTGTCATGAATCAGTGAGGTCATTAAGCTCGCCTCGGCCAGAAATCTCTGTGCCGCTTCGCTATTGTCCTTCAACATTTTCACCGCGACTCTTTCTCCTCGATAGACACCTAATAGCACATCCCCAAATTCCCCCTTTCCAATACACTCTCTTAACTCCAACTCGTGAGTCTGAATCACCCAACCGGCCTCCACGAATGCCTTTGGATCCACACAGAAATCTTGTTTGCCTTGTTTCGGCAAAGATTTCGTTAGCTGTGTACATAAACCGTCTGCATCCTGCTCGTAATGTTCGACCAAAAGCGCCAGATTCTCAAAAAATTCCTCATCGTCGATCGTTAACTGATTGTTTTTATATTTCACTCTATAGTGTTGTACGCGCCCTTGATAGCACACGCAGAGCGTGTAATCCCCGGGGAAATTCGTCGATTCTCGAACTAGAAACAAGCCGTCCTCTCGTGGTCGTAACAACCTTTCTGCCGTTTCCCTCGATATTTTTCCATGAAACCATCTGCATAGAAAAAAACAAAAAACCATAAAACTTTAAGCAGCTGAAATATCATATCTTTAATTGCATTCTCGCAGCATATCAAACATTCATCTTTTCCCATCTTATTTTTTAATAGCAGGTTTTTTTCATAAATTGTAAAACACTGGATATTAAGTTTATGGATATTAAGTTAAATGATACATACGGCATTGCGTTCAGTTTCACTTCATGTCGCGGATTGGCTGGCAATGCGGTAGTGGCGCCTGGATTAATGGTATTCGAGGTGAGAATCATCGGCGAGGACGTGGTGTTCATGTGCGTCGTGATGTTTGAGGTGGTGACACTCGAATGCATGGTCATCGTCGGCGACACTGGATGGGACGGAATGCTACTTGCAATCAGGTTGGAAGGAACACTATGTTGCTGCTGCTGTTGCTGTTGCTGTTGCTGAGTGTTGTTTTGTATGAGGGGATGAGACGTTACGTTTGAAGGGATAGTGTGATGATTTTGATTGCCGTCGAGCTTTGCTTGCCGCGCTGGCGCTGACACATTCGGGTATCCGCCACCCGCATTGTGGTACGTTGGCATGGCAGCTACCACACAGTAGGCTCTATCAACCTGCGAAGATGAATGAAAAGCATTCATGAATCTTGAGAGTCATTTATCAGCATGCCTCATTAAATAAGACGAAGAAATGTTCTATGTAAGTACATTCATGATTCGTGTACAAGTAATGTAAGGGATAAAACAAGAACACGAAGATGATAAAACTTTACGACATCAAAATATGACTCTCATTCCATTCACAAAAAATAGAAAAATTATTATTTTTGAATAATTAATACAGATGACATTAAAATGTTAAAAAAAAAAAAAAAACCGTAATTTTTATATATTTATATAATTGTTTAGGGCTCTCGCGTACAAAAAACTTAAGCAGGAAAATGTAAGCAACTAATATTTTTTTTCTAATATTATTCTAAATATTTTCTTGATTATTGCGATTGATGCGAACTTGATTTGTGATAGTTTCAGGTTTCCTAACAGGGGTACGTTCAATTTACATTCGTACATACATTCATTGCGCCCGTATGCAAGTTTTTATTTTACATATCTTATCAAATATAGAATAGAAAACGGAATGAGTAATTCGTAAATGTGAAAAATACTGCTTAAGTCAAAATTCGTATCTAGACTTTCTAATGTGTAACGGATATCTTTACCAATTCTATCACCGAGATATGTGTTGTTTATCACAAAAATCAAATAAGTAGTGAAAAGAACATCATTTTCCGACGTAAAGAATAAACAATTCAATATATATATATATATATATATATATATATATATTATTTATTTCTTATTAAAATAGGTATTTAAATCGTCTTAATATTTCATCAGAATAAAGAAACTAACTTGATAAAAAGTTAAAA